ACTGATTTAGCAATTTCTTCTCAGGGATGGAACCCAGCATTATTAAGATGTTGGTGAGAATAAAGCTGCTGGTGAAACATTTGATTGATCATAAAGTAATTGTTACCATATTCTGAATCAGACAACACATTACCTTCCTGGGTATTCCCTGAAAACTGTAGTTCTGTTTAAATGTTCAAAAGTTTGCTCCTAAAGTTTAATTTTCAGATGTCTGAGTGTTTATGGTTTATGTGTTTGACCTACAATAAATCCTTCCACATTAAAATATATATATATAAAACCTTGTCAATTAAATTATAATGATGCTTTTAAAAACCATTTATGATTTTTATTTAAAACTTTTTAAAGGTGTTTTTCTACACCCATGGCCCAAATCCAACCTACCACCTGTTCTTGTAAATAAAGTTTCAGTGGAACACAGAGCCAAGGTCACTGGTGTGTCCTTTGCCTCTGCTGCTTTTGCGCTACAATGGAAGAGCCGAGCAGCTGGGACAAGGACAGGCTGGCCTTCAAAGTCAAAAATGTTTGTCTGGTTCTTTCTTCATTTAGACAAATTTTAAAAACTCATTTTCCTTTTTATTTACACAAGGATTAGTGTACATGAAATCAACCCGTCACTTACAACAACTAGGCCAGAAAATTTGGATTTATGGTGATCTAACAACAAATATTTGCTCACTAAAGTCACATTTTGGCCCTGCGGACTTGTTTTCTATGGCCTTTTCATTTTACTGCCAAATCAAAATGTAATCTTTTCAAAGACATTTGAAATAGGATGGGCAATATAGGCTGGTCTCACCTGGAGTTGATCCTGGAATTAGGGAAGTTCTGTAGGGGAAGGTTTTTAGATAGGTCTCCCCCATAATAAAAGACAGATTAATAAGAGAAAGGTAGGCATTTATGAACACGTATGCCTCATGGACATACATAAGAAATACTCAGGGGAAAATGAGTAACTCTCAAAGAGGCAGCTTAGAACTTAGGTTTAAACACCATCTTCAGCTCAAAGGAAAAAGGGAAAGGCAAGTTATTACATGTGACAGTGACTGGAAACAGGACATAACAAGGACAAGGTTCATTAGATGCCTTCTCTATTGGTAGGAGTCTATTGATTTAGTCCACATCCCAAGTGCAGAGAGTGGGGAAACACATTTCCTTTATAGAAGTGTTCATTTCTGCCCAGGC